TAATTAGCTGCCAGAAATTATCACTAGAAAACAAAAAAGCAAAGAAGGATAACGATGTAATGTGTATTGTACGTGTAAGCATAAAATTTTTAACGATATTAATGGAATAGTTATAACATTTGCTAAAGGAATGCAACGGATTTATAGAAGTATGAAGTTAGCGATGGGAAATTGCGAATGGTCCCATTTTAGGATAAATTCTTGAATGAAAAATTTCAGGATGAATTCTGAGTGAGAGTTTTTCTTGAATAAAGGATACACTGTTTAATTAAAATATTCCCAATTCGTCTTTTTAAAGACATAGTTCATAATTTTCTAGATGTAAAGAATTCCATCAGGCATTTTCATGGAGAGAAAGCTTCACAGTGTACAATATTTTATTTGGTAAAATAAAGTCTCCATTTGATGATTCAGAAAATCGATGATTTGAATTTTTTGGTTAAAACTGAGCTTATAGTGATTTTTTAAATTTGAACATTACAAGGATGAAGCTTTCTCCCTTATGAAAAATACCTTTTTCATTAGTGAATCATGTGACAAGTTTTCTGTTTATTAGGAACTTTCCGGTGATTTGAGAAGTTATATCACAGCTTCAGCTAAACTATTCAATGCTAAATTGTTGACCTGAAAAGGATAATTTTGGAGTCTGAAGTTTCTAATATTTAACTAAAACTGAATTTTATTTAGTAATAAAAGGATTTTATTTTTATAGAACGTAAAATTACAACTGTACTACCATTAAAATTATATTTATATGTGTTTTAACAAACAATTACCTTTACTTTTCAAATGTTCAAAATTTTTAAATTGGATATGATATAATATTTTCGCATACAAAGATAACGCGAATTAGAAACTTAATTTATATTTAATTAGGAAATTTTGAAATACATTGAGCAAATACATTCTATCGATAGGATTATTTGTAATAGACTCAAATAAAAGGATATGACTTTGATTAATTTTTCTTCTGTTTCTGTGACATAAATTAATTATTATAAATTTTCGATGGAGAAATTGTTATCGTTGAGAAAAGAATAGGATCAAATTTTGCAAGAAAGATCAAACTTAGACAAATTTAAGAGTTCAGAAGGATGTTCTCGGATTTCAGTCATAATCACTTTTTTTGATTTCTGGTAAAATGTCAAGAAAATTAGAATGCAGAAATACTTATAATCTTCGTACTTCTATCTTCCTGATTTTCTAAAAAAAAAAAAAGTCCCTTTTCGAAAGTCTGTAATGTCGGATGATTGTTGTTTATCATATTCCATTTCATTCTTCTTTTTTTTTGATTTCTATTTCATCTTTTTTATAGGTTTCCTTTTTTTAAAAAAAATCAATTCTTCTCTGTTAGAAAGCAATTTAATTTTATTAAATTTTCCATCAAATTTTTACAACAGATAGTATCTCACATAATGACACATAAAAGAAAAGCCAAAAGAAGAAAGAAAAATACAATCGTTTGTTCAATTTTAAAATCTAAACAAATGATGCATTCGTTTTTCTTCCCATTTAACACATTTATTCATCATTGAAAAGCTCTTTTCATTTGATATGATCAATTGATTATTGTTTATGAAATAAACAAAACTTGCAAATGCATAAACTTTCCCAATCATTTCCCATTTTTACTCGTTTATAATTTACTGTCTACATAAATACTTTCGATTAGACAAACTTTATTAACTTTTAAATATTTTGTTAAATAATTTTCTATCACTGATAAAATATCCGTGTTTATTTCATTCTTTCAAAAGGAAAGCTTAACATTTGATAAGTATTAATAAATGATTGCATTTGGCAAGTACTGATAAATGATTAATTAATAATACCAAAATTGTCATCAATTTTCAACTGGTAGTGTGTTAAATTTTGAAAAATCTTCATTGATATTATTGACATATACGTAAATACGTAAACCAAATTCATGCGTATATAGCCACGTAATCATTACGTTTCTTTTTGCTCTCCTCGTTTTATTTGATGCCAAAACCGAGACGAATTTTTACGAATGCAAATAGATTTCTTCTACTAAAGTTAAATTTCAAAAAATGCAACAAATACGGATATATCATAAATGAAAGATTATCTTTGATGAATTTTTCAACCTTTATTCTTTTTAATTTTCCTAACTTTTGCTTTCAGCTCTTTTTGTCTTTTTATTTTTTTATTAAATTTTTATAAAACTTCATATTAAATTTCAGTTTTTACAATCGAATCATTTATTACTTGATATAGGCAAATTTTAAAAAATGAATTGGAAAATACAGCATCAATGTTCGAAGAAATTTGGAAATTGCGCTAATAATAATCTGCGCTTTTATCTAACATCACTTCTATTTCATCCATTCATTAATTGAACAAATCCATTTTATCAAATCTTTTATTACAGCTTATTCGATTCACATTGATACGGGCGAAAGCTTTTTTGTAAATGTCTTATATTAATAGCTTGAAAGCTATTAATATAAGCCAAATTTTTAAGTAAGGCCAAGTACGGTAAAAGCCTTGAAAAATGTTGCTTGTGTTAAACTTCTCAAAACTTTAACATTTCCAGAAGAGAGAAACAAATTATAATTGCTAAAATTCGTTCAAATATTCCTCAATTTTCCCTGCCGTATTTCAAACGAATCATTCCATCTTCTTCCCAAATACAAGCGTTAATTTACTCAAGACATTCAATCATTATTGCCCAATTGTCATGGCCTGGGCCAAAACAAAAACATTTTATTTATCCTTACATATATGGGTGTGTGTGTGTGTGTGTGTGTGTGTGTATGTGTGTGCGTATCTGGGTGTGTATGGTGTACGTCGTGTACAAACATCTGGTCTGTTAAGGAGAACGAGAAAATGGAAAAGGGACAAAGGACAATTACCGATTTTGCCCTTAACTCCCATGGTAACTTGACAACTTAAATTATCCAATGCATAAATCAACAATCAAACTTGATGCCAAAGCAATTCATATTTTTTACGATCCTGAAAAAATAAGCAGTGGAATGTTCCTTTCACTAAGTTATTTTCATTTTTTAGGTCATTATGCATTTGTACGTGTATTTTCTTCACGTGTAATTATCTTTACGTATGTATACTTATATTTTTAATTTCTTAGTTTTTTTCTTTGAATATTTGAAAATATTAATTCCTTTAATTAGCTCATTTAAAGAAATAGTTCCAATAAATACATTAGATTCAAATGAAATTCTAAAAAATTTGACAAATTATCCTAACTGGCAATATATGAATTAATTAATAAATTTGTTTTATCTAATTGTTAGCTGCAAATGTTTTAACTGATAGCATTCTTGATTAATTAACAAATGATTAACAATATAATTATATTGATGATATGACGGATAAAAACAGCATTTAAAATTAGTAACAATAATGATCATTTCGAATACTATACAAACGATACGTCTAACTATAACAATCATTTATACAACATGAATAACGATTACAATTACTGTCAGACGATCATGCCATCAAGAACATTGTTTTGCCGAAAGTGTGAAGGTCATGGACGACAGGTTATATTGAAAGGTCACGCTGGTCGTTGTCCATATAACAATTGTCACTGCAAAACTGTAACTGCTACTTATTTATATTCCTTACATTTTGAATATTCAAATGCATTTACACTATTCAATTTAAAATTTTTTAGAATTTTGAATTTTTTCAAAATTTCACGTCAACTTGCATTTATATTTATACATATATATGTATGAACTAATTGTGAATTAAATAAAAAATTTTCTTATTCCCAACAGAAATATTTGATAAAGACGTTTAACATTTAACATATTTACTTAAAATAAAATTATCATTGCTTATTATATGAATCTCTTCACTGAATGACATATTCGTATTTGAAGGAATTTATTAATTATAAAATTCTTTTATTCATTTTAGTGTATGGAAAGGATTTTTGATTTTAAATATTTTCTCTAAGCATTAATTAAAGATGAATGTAGTAGTAATAAAGCAGATTTGATCGAAATACCGTAAATCTTTTTTTTTTTTTTNTTTTTTGNGAAGGAGNTCAGATTTAACGATTAGAATTTGTTTCAACTTT